TCTGATGGAGGGCACCCGCCGCATAGAATGAAAATACTCGGCATACAAATACAGCGAGCCAGGTGTAATTGAGGATGTCCTCAGTGCCTCTGCTGCAGTGCTCGTGACTAGTGAATCTCGATTGCTGATTTACCGGTTGTTATCCTAAGAACCCGACACAAAGGAAGGTGGTTATCATAAGGACGCGTTACAAGTTGGACCAAGAGGGGTTCAAGTTTTGAACGTTCAAGTTTCCGATGTGGTTACCCTATTGTAACCTCTCTACACGTTACAAATCTACCAACGCGGTCAAGATGCCGCGATTTTTCGCTCCCGCCAGGATGAACGCATGCCGCGAGCTCTTGACCCCCACGTTCGTCCACAGAGACAAAAGTACCGAATCGGCACATGCCAATCGTGGCGAATATGTGCAGACGAAAACTTCACCCGCTTTTTTCGCCGCGTCGCGCAGTCAATTGGAATTGTGCGGTTTGAAGTGAGTGCGGTTCGGTTGCGGGCTGTGCAACCATGTGTTTTTCGTCAATTCGCTTTTGTCGCCAGATTCCCGTCGTGCGAATTTTGCATCTTGATCGACAATGGACGAAGCGCGGTTGGGTACATCTTCCACCCCCTGTCTTGACTGCCTGTATTGAGAAAGCTCGCTACTTGTAGTGCAAATGGCATCGTTCTCATTCCACTGGCATCAAGTACAAAGAGTTCCCAATAGATTCATCTATTAGCATAAACTTTCTAAACTGTCTACACTGGGATATGTCTATGCCGAGGATGATCCACCGAAGCGGTGCATGTTGAAGAGAGTAGACGGAGCGGCTTGGGTGGGCGGGAATTGAACTTGAGCTGGGAAAAAAGAAAAACGTGGGTGGAGGAAGAATGACCTCCAACCCCATTATATGGTTGGAGAAGAGCGAATAGCGAGCTTTGACGATGCCTTAGATTGCGTTACAAGCAGCTTCTTATTCACAATACACAATTTTGAAAGTGTGAACACTTTAAAAACTTATATGTTTTGACCCTTCGCGATCAAACTCCCGACAGAGGCATTCGAACGCGCTGTTCGTCCCAAACTGTGAATCTCCATCTTGGTCCAAATTGTAACGCGTCCTAAGAAACACACATCTCCTTACCAAACTGTACTGCATCGCGTACCCTCTTGTCCATGCGCCGTTACCTTTCCACTCCGCCTCTCCCCCACAACCACAAACCCCGAGGTTCTCGCCTGGGTTGGACACGCCCCTGGTTTTGCCCTAGGGCTTCATCTGTACTGCATTTCTGTTGGTCACACTTCCAATGTTCACTTTATTCTGCACACTATAGATTCTCACCTTTCTGCGTGCTTCCAAGGGACTTCCTATCCTGCCAGGGGCATTTGGAGCACCATAAGCTAATGAGGAGGAAGTTTCATCATCACAAAAAAGTGAGGTCCCAAAACAACTTCAGAACTAACCCACAGGACTCCTTCGGGACAGTTGCGGGACATTGGCTCCGGGACACTCTCGGGACCAAAGGTGGGTCAGCCAGGGTATACGTGTCCAGGACATTAGGGGGTCACGCCCGGGTGCTCTCAGGGGTTTTTTTTGGGACACCACCGGAACATCTCCGGGACAGTTGTAAGACAGTTGACGGATGTTGACCGCTGATGACTGAACAGTATATACGCGATGCTAAGCTGCCCCACATTCATTACAACAAATTACGATATGATACGACCAGGATTCCTGCTAAGTTTTAGGGCTGTCTGAGAATCATACGCGGTTTCGAACTTTCGTCTGACCATCAGACGAGCTACCTGGGCTGGTCTAGATTTTCAGACGAATTGTCCAGCATCATCTGAGCTTCCAGACGGAAAAAAAGGAACTTCACAATGAACTAAAGTACAGTACTGGGGTGATGACGCGCCACGCGGCAAAAATGTTGCGCGGGTGGCAGGTTTGAAAGCTTGTTCCTATGAACCTCTTCCCAAGCTGTCCTCTTCCCAAACTCGGCCCTTGCCTGAGTGAGAGCGTGTTCGGAGAACCGTTTTTCCAGCTAATTCGTTTCAGAATCACATTATAAATCGCGTCAATCCCACTGTACAGATTCGCGCATGACTGAAATTTTCGCGCCTGAAACGAGATTTGAAAACACGCCTTGAATCTCGACAATCCCAATCTCGCGTCACACCACGCGGAACCGCATTTAACTGTTTCGTGTCAGAATTACGTGACACTGTAGCGCAGGAGTTTGGGATGAGGTTGGCTGGGAAGAGGCAGCAAGAACATGCTCTGAGACCCGATGACACACGTGGCCGAATGGCCACAAGGGCGTGGACTACACCAAATTTGTAAAACGGGCGGGAAGGGGGGGGGGGGGGGGGACATGTTACTACAAGGTGGGCGCAATGTACCGCCCACCAGAGTGGAGGAGTGGGTGAACCGTCGAGATCGTGATCGTTGATCGACAAGATATTTCTCAGCTGTGTGTTGCGATTAACTTAGCCAGCAACATTCTCGCCAATTCGGAGCGATTTTGATTGGCTACACAAGAGAAAGGCTTCTTGTGCTTGTGCCCAGACTTCACGACGACCAATGTGACTCCTTTTCTACGAAAATATTTTCGCACCCACTTCGCCTTCCAGCTCAAGTTCTGAATCTAATCAGAGCCCCGTAGGAACACGCTCTCAGACGGAAATATACGCGCTATCTGGAAATTCAGACAAGTGCCTACACCAAGTCTGAGAATTCAAACGGATTTATATAACCAAGATGGTCGTTCAGATGAAAAACGTACATGTGCGCACTAAGGTACGCATAATGCTGAGGCAGGTTCTGCTAGGCATGCTTCTCAATCCAACCAGCAGACTCGCCACATACCCTCATTGCCAATGATGGGTTCATCAGTGTCCACTTTCCTCCTCCTTTGTCTCCCTGAAAGAATTGGCCAGTTTACTGCCTGCTAATCCCCTCAACGCCTACAGACTCTGAAGGCTGGCGCATTCCTCCCTGGAGAGGCTCACTCCTTCCAGCTGGCCCACACTCTTCCACTGCAGCCTCGCCTCTTTTCCCTGCCTGCCTGCCTGCTGTCTGAACCCGTGACTTTCTGCGGCAGGGAAGGGAGAAGAAGACGCAGTTCCAGGAGCAGCAGGATGCGGGGACGCTCATGCCAGGCGCGGCTGTACCGGTGGTTCCTCTGTGAGTGTCATCTGATGTTCCCGCCCTGCTCCACATCTTCACACCCGGCTCTCCACCTCGCAACGCATCGCTGGGGCCTCCAGCTGCTGGCGTCTGTTGCTTGCCACTGCGTCTGCCATTCTCGTCATCGTCCTGATCACCATGCGCCATGTTGAGGTCAAAGCCCAGTCCTGTTCCTTCCCTCTCACTCGCACCACGAGCAGCCAAGGCAGCAGCAGCAGCAGCAGCAGCAGCAGCAGGGGCAGCGATGGAGCAAGAGACTGCAGTGGAGGAGTTGAGAGCGCGAGAGGGCAGCTCGTCTGGTGCAGTGAGACCGGCGCCTCTCTCCGCCTGCCGTGGAAGGGAGCCCGAGCGAGATGGGTCGGGTGCCTGCCAGGGGGGCAGGTTGATTTCAAGGACCTCCACCCGCGAGCGCTGTGTCTTGTGCCAGCGCTGCGCGTCCATCGCAAATGGCACTGCCTCCTCTGTCCCACGCACCTGGTCTTCCCTTCCACCTGCTCGATCCCCCTCTCCGGTCTCTGTTGCAGCCCTGCCAGGTGCCACAAGCCTGCCTTCAACACCGCTGCCAGCAGGGAAGCCGGATTCCGAAGGTCCCCACGGCCCCTCTCGCCGCAAATGAGCTGCTCTCAGCCATCCAGCCATGGCAGTCACATCAGCCGCTCCTGCCTGGGCCGCAACACTCCCATGCATCGACTCATCTTCTGCCATGCCATCACCCGCCATGCCTTCCCGCTGCCTCTTCACATCATGCCCATCATACTTTGCCAAATCAAAGTCCCTTGGAAGGTGGACCTCTACAGCGCTGCCCCTCGTTCCGCCTCCACCAGCCGCTTGTGAGCCACTCCCTGGGCCGTCTATGTCCCGTTCCCCTGAGCGGAGGCGCTTGGACGGGCTCAGCATGGTGCCACCAGGCGTTGCATTCATTCCGCTGCGGTGCTGCTGCATGTACATTCCCAGTCCCCCTGCCCGCCTTCCGCCCCTGGAGTCCAGCTGTCATGGGCGAGTGATGAGACGGCAGAGAGAAGGCCGAGGCGGAGGAAGGGGAGGCAGCGGAGGAGCACTGCAGTAGATTCGCTGTGGGGGGGATGTGTTGGTCAAGCTGGGCTGCCGTGTGAGCAGTACCGCGCTCGCTGATGCGCTCTCTGGCTGCTCGCTCTCATGCCTTTGGCTCAGTGACCGCTTTGCCATGTGCTCCTTCAGCGAGTCACCAGACACGATCTCGCTCTGTGCTCGCTTGCTGCCCGACGCCTCTCCTGCCCGCGCACCTTGCTCTCAGGGCTCCTCACCCCGCCACCTCCAGGAGCCCCCTTTTCCCTGCCCTGTATTTTCCGGGCAATGCCACCCTTTCCTCTGGCAGCTCCTGGACTCCCAACTGGCTCGAGTATGGACAGCCGAGGCCACAGCATCCCTGTGCTGTCCCTCGTCGTCTTGGTGCTGGTGGCAGTTCCTTGCCCATCACCGCTCCTTCCATCACCCGCCTCCCATCACCTTTCCGTTCATTTCCCTTCCTCCAGTGTTTCTGATTCTATCGCCAGCATCACTGACACCAGAACCCCCTCGACGACCAGCAGCAGTAGCAGCAGCAACAGCAGCACTACCACCACCATCTGTTACGGCTGCCCCATCACCTGGCCCAGGCACAGCAGCACCAGCAGGGGCAGAGGCGTGCATGGCTGGGAGCCGAGGGAGCAGCGCCAGCGGTCGTGCTGGTGCTGCTTGAGGCCCACGGCCGTGGGGAAGCTCTGCTTGCATACGGGGCACACGTGCGGGCCCTCGTCGTCCGACCGCAGCCACTTGGCCAGCAGCTTGCTGACGCGAGGGGCCATGCCGCCATCACTACCACAAACACTGGCCCTGATGCCACTGCCACTTGTGCCAGTCCGTTCCAGCAGCGTTCGTAGCTGTGGCTGTTCCGGCAGCAGCAGCGGGGGTTGTAGCTGCGTTGGTAGTGGAGGGAACGCGGCGGAGGGGGAAGGCTGGGAGACTGTGGACTGAGCAGCTGCTGCCGTCTCTGTGGGTGCTGCTGCCACCACCGCAGCTGCTGACTCAACAGCGAAGCGGCGGTGCGCTGCTGCTAAGTCCATGCGATGCTGCTGCTGGCCAGCACCGGCAGCAGCAACAGCCAGCATCATGGCATGCATGCCCATCAATGCCTGGCCGGAGAGCGCTGCTGACATTGCTGAGGCTGATGCTGCAGCTGCAGGGACCGGGGACGGTACAGCAGGAGCAGGGGCAGCTGGAAGGCTGAGCTGGGTGGGTGGAACACGGGAGAGGGAAGCAGGGAGAACTGTGGCGTTCCTAAGCACTGGGCCGAGCTGGTGGGCGGCCAGAAGAGACCCCTTTTGGGACATTCCTGCCTCGGCTGCGTTGGCTGCCGCTAGGCCTGCAGCTGCTGCTGTGTCTGAGCCGCTGGCGCTGGCGCAGCGGCGGCAGCAGCAGCAGCAGCCATGACGACGGCGACCATGGAGTCCCGCGCGCGCACCTGCGGCGAGTCCTCGCCCACTGCCGCCTGCCGCTGCACTGCTGCCAGGTCGCGCGACACGGAACCACATGCTCCCCCCGTCTGGAGGTTCAGATTCGCCTCGGTTCCTCTTCCCGCGGCGCTGCTGGTAGTGGCAGTTGCATGGGAGTCACGGTACATCCAAGACGCCTCCATGCTCAAGATTCCGACGCTCCGCTGGCGAGACCTGGGCGACAGGAAGGCCACGGTGTCCCCTGTGAGATGTGGTAGATGGACGGTTGAGATCTGATGGGAGTATTTCCAAATTGGGCCCCGGAACGGAAAAGTTCTTGGATCGGTCGTCAGGGGGTTCAAGCTGTCGATGAGGTCAATCGTTGGAAGTACATGGGTGCGAATTGCAGCACAGGAACACCCCCAGATCGTGTATAGTAGCGCAAATCATCTGCTCCTTGGATGCGAGACTCGCCGGCGGCGGCTTGACGGGACTCCGAGTTGACGACTGCATAGTGAGACTCATGTTTTGCTTGATGACGGGCGGCGACTGCAGAACCAGCATGCACGCGTTCTTCGGGATAAAGTCTCGCGATCGTTGACTGCAAAGATATCGACGCAGGCGAAATATGCGTCGAGAACTCGGTTTCCTCGCCCAATCGTTTCTGATCGCCTTCATCCCATTGCCGAGTGTCTGAGAGACCGGCGTGGGCTTCGTCGTTCGTAATGGGGGCGAGACTGAGCTCAAGCTCGAGTCGAGGCGGCGCGGAGGTGACGGAACCAATCTAGTGCTCGTCTCACGCGGCCTTTCGGGAGAGAATGTTTCTCTTTTCGCGTGTGCAGAGTTTGCCATAGAAAATTTGTGCGCCTGTGACGAATTCGACACGAGATAGGGCATCACGTAAGCTGGCCTACTGAGAGGATAGAAAGTTGATACTTCGTTATGCTAAAATGCTGTTTAGGGAAGGCCCTCTGGATTACTGACTGCCTCCAAAGCTGAGTGACATGGGAGGGTGACACCTGAAGACTGACCCTGAACCTTTTGAAATTAGATTAGCTGTTTCCCTTTCAGAAACATAATTTAGATTGTTAGTCTACCACATCTTCCTTCTCACGAAGGCTTCTGGGTGCCACAATTAAAGACTTCCCTTAGGGTGAATGCTCGAAAAGGCGTGTCCAGCATATATGTTTCTACAGGTGTAATCCTTGGGTAAATAGCGAACGTCAGGCCTGGGTGCTCATTCCAAGCCGCCATTAACAACTTTACAGGGTTTTTCTTCCTGCAATCCAGATCATAGGTAACTTAACACGAAAAATGCTTTGAGTGAGGACCTCCAGCTTTCCTACAACGTTCATCAGAACCAGGGCTCAAGATAAACAGCTAATAACCCGGAATTTCAGTTAAATTTTGGACTGTTTATAAAGAAATCCGTGCCGGAATCAAATACGGATTGCCTAAATGGGCCCAAAGTTGCCCGTTTCAAAGCCTATTCTGATCCTTTCAACGAGGTCTGCGACCCTGGGATCTTAGAAATGTACAAACCGCGACATTTAGCCTTTTCGAGGCATCAATATTCAAATCTGGAAGAATCCGGATTCATGAAATTCCAATCGTGAGGTCTGATCAGAACCCCACTTTCCCCAACAATCCCGCGTGCATCCCCACACACACCCCAGTCCTAGATTCTGGTCCTTTGCGCTTGACGTGGCATTTTGAGGAAATTTGATGCGTGAACCGCAAAGCATATTCATCTTTTGGCTGGCAGCCACTCATGTTGCGGTGGGTGGCGGTGTGGTGAAGTGTATCCTTTAGATTCGGAAATTTTGAAGGGTGCGAAGGAAGGTTCGTCCATAGGTCTACTGTGGAGGGCCAGTTACTGTAGTACGGTTACTTACGGATCCTGTAATGAAAATAACTTTTGACGCTGAAGCCAACAGCATTGGTTGTTCCAGGAAGAATCAGTTTCAATTGGTTAAAGCCCGCGGCCCAGATTGCGAGGCGCGACCTTCAAACGCACTGCGTTTGAAAGTCACGTTTTTGTGGGTGTAGATGGGGGTAACGTGACTCGCGTCACTCGGGGCTGGCTTTCAAGTTCAGTGCGGAACGTATTTTGGGACACCAAGTACCTCGCGTATTTTAGCCGTCCAATATTTGTCGATTTCCATCTGACTGCGCGCAAGAAAAGTGCTTTCCCCAATCAATCGAAATGTAATCTCAGCCGTCGCACTGCCTACTTGCAAATCGAACGATCTACGACAAATTGCGAACTCGCGAGATAAAACACCCTCACGATTTTTCTGCTTATTTCGTCCAGGCCGAGGCTCAGTTCATACGCAATGTGTATGAACAATTTGGGCCGCGGGTTTTAAAACAGCTGAAATTGAAGTTTGACTGAAATATGTCAGGGTGCAGGACCTTCCCATTTTGCAATTTTGTACCCTGGACACATGGGATGCGACAGAAGCCAGAGTGTAGCAGGCACATAGAAGTGTAAGATATTCTTTGAGGCTACCCGTTTTCTACGGTCAACTCTCCTAATAAGCGGTACAGTTGTATGAAGGGAAATAAATAATCTAAAGCAATCCAGCGTGAAAGTGAAATGAACCAATGAAAACCTATGGAAGATTCTACTGATCATTACCTTGGCGCATGCGTAAGCCGCTATGATTAAAAGATATTAAGAAGGTTTCGGAGAGCCAATGCTGGCGGAAAACCATCACCATTAAAGATATGTGATCTAGATGGAGATCTATCCCACCGAGTTTGCTGCGATGCAATCTTGCTTGAGCCCTAAGGCGCGGAAACCGAAAAGGGTTTCGTTTTGTCTGCGTTGGCAGACCATCAAACCAATCAGTGAAGTCCCCTTCTCAAGTAGAATGTTGATTCAGGGCATAGTTATGATATAGCACTCGTTAGCATATAAGACCCCATGGATGTCTGAGGATCTCAAGAGGATGGATAGGTGGCCACTATGGCGAAAGAGATTGTATCAACTCATCTTCATGGATTTTGTAACTTATGAAATGCAGTAAAAACTAAATAACAATTATGATGCACAAACAACAAGAAATGGGTATCGACTCTCGAGATTATCTATAACTCGTATGCATAATGGCACGATCAATATAGCTGTATTGTTAAAGCCCGCGGTCCAAATTGCGAGGCGCGACCTTCAAACGCAGTGCGTTTGAAAGTTGCATTTCCGTGGGTGTATTGGGGGGTAACGAGACTCTCGTCACTCAGGGGTGCCTAGCAAGTTCAGTGCGGAAGGAAATTTGGAACACCAAGTGCCGAGCGTTTCTCAACCGTCCAGTTTTTCTACACACGTCTCGCACATTGCCAGACAATGGTTAGACACTCAACACCAGTGTGTTAGGGACGCCCAATTGTTCTCCAAGAACATTCGGTCATCCCAAGTGACGAGGAATTTGATAAGATGGGCGCCATGCATGTCTCGACAGTTGGTTCAGCGAATGGTTGGAATTTTGGAAATGATGAAACGATTGAAGCATTTCAGGAGTTTCGCGTGCTGTACAAATACATGATCATGCAACATCGACGATTGCCAAGTCAAACCTGCGACAGTACCTCTTATGGATGACACAGGTTGACGACATCTCACGGAGGTTGTGAAAGGCAAGGGTCACAGACCGTTGACCTTACAACCCAACAGTCAGAAGTACAAGAGTCGAAGTCAGCGTGACAGCAAGGACACATAAACGTCCCGGTATCACAGCACGGTTGGTTACACGAGTCGTGCTTATCGAGTCGTAAAGGTAATGTCCCCCTCGAAGTGCACAGGTAGTTAGACTCTTCATGTTCTCTTGTATAATTAAATAAGTCCTTGTATCCCTTTGCTATAATCAATCACTTCTACTCACATACCAGTACAAGGGTTCAAATCAGACTTCCGCTGTGCTATCAAGCACTCTTTTTACAAGGACTTAGTTTCTGAATAGGATCCTAGGGCTATTCTCAGCCCAACATAGTATAAGAGCTAGTCAGGAACTACGTTCTCATTAGAAACTCTCTCAGTGAGTTTCTAAGTTGGATCAGAACACTCGCAGTAATCTCAGCTTGATTATCAAGATTCAACATATGGCACCATCAAAGGTCGGATGATCCTTTACTGGATCTTCGGGCTACGAGGCATATGCACCTCCAGCCTCTCAGCTACAGACTGAGGCAGGCGTTACTCAAGGCGCTACTCAAGGTGCAACTCAAGGCGCAACACCAGGCGCACCTGCGGGAGCTTCCACGCATCCAATGGCCTCCTCCTTGGGCATTGACCCAGGATTCGCGGATAAGTTCTTCTCCTTCATGTTGCACAACAAGCAACCTTCAGCACCTGCTTTGTTGGTACATAGCAACAACATTAGTGGCGCCAATAGTGGCATAGCACCTATGAGCCTCGACAGCTCATCGTATGGAAGAGGCAATCAACAACCTATTCAACATCAGCCTTACCAGCCCTCGCTTGGCTCGTTCACCTACCTGCCAACTCCAGCGCCATCGGCGAACTCGCAACCAAGCGACAATTCAACAACATTCCGAAGCTGCAAATGTCTTTCCCATTCAATGGAAAAGGCTTCTTTACCCGGAGCTTCGAGTTCGAGTTGCTGATGGGCGGTGCATAGATCCTCAACTTCTTCACCTTCTCCTGGTCATTTCCTAAAAATGGGACTATTCAAGGAAAGGAAGTCTACGCATAGTAGTCGCGTATGGCGATTACCATCCTTCTGCACAACCTGACGCTAACAGAAAAACATAACATCCAGACATACAAAAACTTTGGCAACTCGGCTGAAGCCCTGGAGGGACCAAACAGGAAGAAATGGAGGGAAGCAATAGATAGGGAATTAGCGGCACTGCACGAACGGAACACCTGGAAGCTGATTCCCATATCTCAGGCGACAGGAAAAACCATTCTCTATGAGAAATGGGGTTTCCAACTGAAAACAAAAGATAGCGGCACCATCGACCGCTTCAAAGCTTGCTGGGTGGTGCGATGTTTCGACTTGAAGCACGGACGTGACTACATCGAAATTTTCGCCCCAGCCAGCCGTCACACATCACTGCGTATTTTACTCGTCATCGCCGCCGCCTGCAATCTCCGCCTGCGACAAATTGACGTTGCCACGCCATTCGTGTACACACTAGCCGACGCTGACATCTTCGACGAGCAGCCCCATGCGTAGGTCGACGACCCACCTCATCTGCCAGCTCATCAATCCCTTTATGGGATTAAGCTGGCCTCGCGGCTGTGGCAGCAGTACCGATACCGAATCCTCACCACCATGGGATTCGCTCAGCTCCTGTATGACCAAGGAATGTACCAGCTATCCCGAATTGGCGGCTACGTGCTCCTGATCGTCTACATCGACGATCTTGTCTACATCGGTCCGACGACCTCCATCCTTGTCTTGTTCGAAGGGGAGCTACGGCTCCAGCTCACTCTCATCGTCTGCCCTACTGTCACGCAGTATCTTGGCCTCAACATCACCGACGGCTCCGACACCATTCACCTCTCGTCATCGAAGTATGCCGAGAACATCGCTGCCCGATTCAACCTATTTCCCCTGCCCTCGCCACACCATACCTCTACACGAACCCAGCTCCCACGACACCCTCCTCCATCCTCACATCGGCTGGCATCTAGGTGTATCAGCAGAAGCTCGGATGTCTGCTGTTCGCCGCCGTCACCTGCCGCCCCGACCTATCCTACGCTGCTAGTCAACTTGCCACGTACCTTAAGCGGCCTGAAGGGGAGAATTTAGAGGAACTCGACCATGTGCTGCTCTGCTTCATCTCTACCCTGATGATCGGCCTCACCTATCACAAGAACGCTACCACCAAAGACTGAGCTAATCGGATATGTTGACGCCGATCATGCCGGCGAAAAAGATAATAGGTGT